CAAAACGGCACTTTCTGCAGAGAAAGGGAACTCTCCCTTTCCCCTGGCGGGAATTAAATACAGATTAACTTTATCTGGCTTTCCTCAGATCCTCTGGATCACATCTGGACTCACCCAAAGCAACAGGGTCACTACTGAGGCCAGGCGTAGCTACAATGATCTGATCCAGTGACTCCTTGTTCCCCAGCATCTTGAAGACCTGAGAAGAAATTAGAACAGATGAGCAGAGGCTCCACTGTGACACCCTCCTCACAGAGAGAGGACAGACAAAAGGCACCAGCCAGCCCAACGTGAGGCCCCACTCACTGCATCTCTGTAGGCAGGACTGCTGTGCAGGGCAGTGTGAAGCACCCGGAACTCCCGGACTGCTGCCACCTTATCCACAGGCTCTGAGGGAGGAAAAGCAGAATAAAACACAGTTCTCCCTCTGTCAGCCTTTTTTACATGCCACTGGGACTTCAACAGCAGTGGTGATTCCTTAATGCCCCTGCATTCAGCTCACCCAGAGACGAAGGGCCCAGACTAATGACTGTCTCAGTAGAGCTACCACAGCGCAACAAGTCACTGCATTCTCAGCTTCTACACACACGAAAGGAGCTGTACGCAAGCGACAGCTCTAACCTAACCCATCTTATTCCACACACACAGACCAGGAACACACACACACATACGTCTGCTCATCCCTCAAGCTGAGTAACCAGTCGCTTTGCTCCTGGTTCTCTGGTAACACCCTAAAACTGATCATAGTCATTAAGGGATATTCACTACCCACATTACATAGCTCAATCCTTAAGTCTCCCATCAGCAAGAAAACATAACACCCCTTTGCTGCTATTAGAGGTGGAGAGTTCCCCCCCAAAACACGTTGATCAATTCCTCCTGCACACCCCCCGTCAGCCTCCCAGAAACAACTGACAAGAGAAGCTGTTCCATGGCCACAAGGAGCCCACACACTGAACATAGAGCCAAGGAGATCTAAGCAGTACCCCGCAGTCTCCTCCTCCTCACCTGGTTTCTGGTCAGGCTCAGGCCAGGACTTGCGCAGGACATGAACAGTGGAGCCCGACTGGATGCCATAAAAATCAAGTGTCTGATCATCCCTCAGCTTACGGCCACAGTAGATCAGATCTAGGAGAGAGAAACACCTGAAGAGAAACGTCTAAAGATGAGCAACTAAAGTTAAACATCTCCAGCACACTCAGAAAGGGCCTAGGGGTTAGTGCTCCACATGTGCTGGGGTCAGCAGCACAGGGCCTCCATAACAGAGGGAAATCGTGGAGCTGAGTCATAGAATGTGACTCTGCCACCTCCTTGAGAAGAGCCCACCTCTCCCACAGAGCTCACAAGGACACATTGCTGTCAGTAAGTCAAAGGATGCCTTAACAAGAGCATCAACACTGCAGGAGCACTGTGATCCCAAGCAAACACTATCTGTATCACAAGGCACTAAGGCCACCACAGCGCACCAGAGGCTCTGGAACATGCCTTGATCCCTCACACTGCGCCAAGTCTTCCCACCGGCCCAACAGCACAAAGCATAAGGACGTTTGTGTCCTGGCCGCAGTGAGGAGAGGAAGGGATGGCCCCAAGCAGCAGGAGGCCACAGCGCGTGGAGGCACCCACCGATGAGCTCGGGGTCCGGGACGGACTCCTGCAGCTTGCCGGTGATGAGCTGCTTGAGGTAGGAGATGCTGCACCCCCCGAGCGGGCACTCCCCCAGCTCTGTCTCTGGCAAGTGCAGGATGGATTTGGGAGCCAGGGGCTGATCCGCCAGCTTCACCGCGATGTGCCACTCGGGCAGCGCCATCGCAGCCTCCGCACCGCCCGCAGCCGCGCCGGCCTAGACCCTGCCGGGGAGGGAAACAAACCCGAGTGAGCCTCCGCGTTAACCAACCACCACAGCGTCAGCCGCCCCGTGCCGGGAAACGCTAACGGGAGGCAGCACAGCCCAGACACGCTGTCAGGTCCCAACCCCTGCCTTAACCAGCGCTGAGGGGAGGCCCCCGCCAGCGGAGGAGGAAGCCAAGCGCAAGGCCCGGTTCTCCGGGTAGACACCCCCCCCCTCCTCCCTCCAGCCCCCGAACCCCCCGTTTGCCGGTGCGGAGACCGGGAGCGAGGGGCCCCGGCGGTCCCCGCTGCTCACCCCCTCCGCGGGCAGGACCCCGACCTGCGCTCCCCGCGGCGCCCCAGGGCCCGCAGCCCAGCGGAAGTGCTGCGCGGTGCACGCTGGGAAACCGAGTCCGCCGGGACACGCGGGACGCGGAGCTGCCCTCCCGTTAACGTTAACGGCGCTGATGGAGCCTTCCCGCAGGGCAAGGGGCTCCTGTAGTCCCTAGAGCAGGCAGGAGCCTCCCCTGAGCCTCAGCCCCGTCTTGTCACCCTCTCCCAAAATAAGGAGACTCCAGTGCCGCTCCAGCCACCAAACCCCGGGCCAGGGAGGCAGCTTTTGGACAAGAGCTGTTTGTGATCTAAAAAAAGGCCAAGTTACCATGAAAGTACAAAGTAGAGCGAGAGCCACATCCCAGGCAAGCTTTCCTCACTAACAGTTCTTAAAGTGGCACAAGTAAGAGGTGCCACAACAGGATTTGTGCCCCAAACATTTAGGTTTTAAGTACCATTTTAGGTGCCCGAGTTGGAAACCCTGTCCCCATAACCCTTTACATCAAGGAGGAGCCCACCCTGAAAGAAACCAACACAGCCTCCTGTAGGTTTTAAAGCCTAAGAAGTTTATTTTCCTACGCAGCAGTCAGTTGTGACCCAGCTAAAGGTGACAAGTGTAATGTAGTGTCATCCTACCAGTGTTACATTGGAAAAGTGAACCACCCTCTGCCTGCTTCCGAGCCACAGGGAGGAAAAGCAGCCATGGGAGAGCTACAGCCTAATGGGGGGGTTCCATCACTACTTAAACCAAGCATAAGGAACAATTCTGGCCCAGGGCATCCCTCTAGAAGCACTTGCGGTGGACAATGGAGGGACCAGACTCGTCGTACTCCTGCTTGCTGATCCACATCTGCTGGAAGGTGGAGAGTGAGGCCAGGATGGAGCCTCCGATCCACACCGAGTACTTGCGCTCCGGTGGGGCGATGATCTTGATCTTCATGGTGCTGGGAGCCAGGGCTATGATCTCCTTCTGCATCCTGTCAGCAATGCCCGGGTACATGGTGGTACCCCCGGACAGCACAGTGTTGGCATACAGGTCCTTGCGGATGTCCACGTCACACTTCATGATGGAGTTGAAGGTAGTCTCGTGGATGCCACAGGACTCCATCCCCAGGAAGGAGGGCTGGAATATGGCCTCAGGGCATCGGAAGCGCTCATTCCCAATGGTGATCACCTGCCCGTCAGGCAGCTCATAGCTCTTCTCCAGGGAGGAGGAAGAGGCAGCTGTGGCCATCTCCTGCTCAAAGTCCAGAGCAACGTAGCAGAGCTTCTCCTTGATGTCCCGCACGATCTCTCTCTCGGCTGTGGTGGTGAAGCTGTAGCCCCTCTCCGTGAGGATCTTCATGAGGTAGTCAGTGAGGTCACGGCCAGCCAAGTCCAGACGCAGAATGGCGTGGGGCAGTGCATAACCTTCATAGATGGGCACAGTGTGGGTGACACCGTCCCCAGAGTCCATGACAATGCCAGTGGTGCGGCCAGAGGCATAGAGGGACAGCACAGCCTGGATGGCTACATACATAGCTGGGGTGTTGAAGGTCTCAAACATGATCTGGGTCATCTTCTCCCGGTTGGCCTTGGGGTTCAGGGGGGCCTCAGTGAGCAGGACAGGGTGCTCCTCTGGGGCGACACGCAGCTCATTGTAGAAGGTGTGGTGCCAGATCTTCTCCATGTCATCCCAGTTGGTGACGATGCCATGCTCAATGGGGTACTTCAGGGTGAGGATACCCCTCTTGCTCTGGGCCTCGTCGCCTACATAGCTGTCCTTCTGCCCCATGCCCACCATGACACCCTGATGCCGGGGACGCCCCACAATGGAGGGAAACACAGCTCGAGGAGCGTCATCCCCTGCAAAGCCTGCCTTGCACATGCCGGAGCCATTGTCCACCACGAGGGCAGCGATCTCCTCATCTGCCATACTGACTGGGCCTGAGGTGAGCAGGAACAGGGAGGTGTCAGCATCCCTCCTCAGAGAGAACACAGCAGGAACACCAGGGAGCCCTGACACTTGCCCCCATGCATTATAGGCCTAAAAGGATTTACCACCCTATGGAGCCCCAGCAACAGTAGTAAGGACTTGCAGGCAAGATGGGGTACTGAGGCATCTAAAAGCCTGCCCCACAGGGCCTGAGTTAGAGAGGAGCCACCAAGGAAGCAGAACACCCATTCATTCCCCCAACCACACACGTATTTACCCTCAGCTCCTCAGAGGACATGGAGGACCCTTCCCCTCCCTCCCCCGGGGCCTAGAGAAGCAGCAGGCCTCGCGCAGGGGAGAGCCCCCAACAGAGCCCCCACAAACGCCTTCAGAGGGAACAAAGCCCGGCACCAACACAAAGCGCTGGCCCCTTCCCAGGCCGCATCTAGCGGCGGGGATCGCGAACCCGATACCGGGGACCGGCGAGACTGAACCCGGGGCCACCTCAGCGCTCACCTGCGCGCCGCCCCTCGCACCCGCACCAGCGCCTCCGCAGTGACTGCCGCGCCCGGCCCCGCGCCCGCGCCTTTATCCTTCCGGAACCGGAAGCTGCCTTACGTTCCTCAATGTAATTGGCTCCCGGGTAAGGCGTAACCCCGCCCCCTTTCTCTTTTCCCTTCACCCGCTTCCGCGTGTGCTCGCCTTCCGGTATTCGCGGGCCGTACCCGGAAGCGGGGCGGGCGCTTCCGTTTGCCGGGCCCCGCCTCCGCCGCCCCGTTTCCGGCTGCTCTGAGGCGGGGCGGCGCGGGGCGGAAGGAGGCAGTGCTGCGGGCGGAGCCGAGCCCAGCCGGCCGCGGACGGGCGGCAGCGACCCGGGCCTGCGGGAGGTAACGGACCGGGGGGGGTGTACCGGCGGAGGGAAGCGGGGCGGGATAGGCCTGCACCGGGCCCGGTACTGAAGCTGGGGGGAGCAGGCCTGCACTGGAGCCTGGTACCGGAGCGGGGCATAGGGGCGGTTTGAGGGCTGGGTGCAGCCTCCCTTCCCCGGGTGGGTCCCGTCGGAAGAGGGATTGGGAGCTCAGTGGAGGCTGTGGGGCATGGGAGGCCTCCGGTGTTACCGGGGGGGGGGGGGGGGGTCGTTGTTTACCATCTCCGGAGAGCTCCGTAGGGCTGGGCAAAGGCTGGCCCCGCCGCTCCCCTCCCGCTTTAACTCTGCCAGGTGTTTCCCGGTGGGAAGGGTCGGTTTCCCCGAGCGCTCTCCCCAGCACCCTGGTCATAAACATTCCAGGCCGGGGGCTTTCTAATGAAAACGTTCTCCCTGGGCTTAAAACCCGCACAAAGGCTGGTGCGGGGGGACCTGAAGGTTAAACTGGATCCTGGCCCTGCCTCGCCTCGGGGAGAAACACAGAAAGTCAGGGATATCCCTGCTGAGGGGCAAAATGGGTGTTAAAACCTGGAGAGGGTTAACGTGACTGGTCCAGTGGCAGTCATTATCCTCAACTCGGGCCTGATATCGCGGTTGAATCACTTGGTGTGAGCACTGCATCTTCCCACTCCTCCTCAAGCTGCCTCTTCCCAATACCACCAATTCTTGCTGAGGGCGTGTTTGCTGGAGCCAGAGTTCACCTTTTTGGGAGGCTGGGCTCTGGAGAAGCCCCTGTGCATCCATGCATCAATCCTGTCGTCAGTTGTACCTGCGCTCTGGGAATGCCACGGGTGCTGCATACCAGGGTGGTGCTGCACCTGAGGTGTGTTTGCTCCGCATGGAAACCCACTATCAGCTCCTTTATTATTGTTGCATGTACCTGAGGCGTGTAGTAACTGCTCAGTATCACCCAGGTGATGCCTCACCCTGCCTCAGGTGCAACAATATGCAGTGAGGTGTGGACTGGAGGCTCTCTACCTCGGTTTATGGTTGTGTTGCAACACCCGAAACGGTTCATTGTTGCTTTACTGGAGGAGTGTGTGTGTGGAGCTAGGCCAGATGGTGTATTGTGCCTTCAGAAGGAGTCTAAGAGTCTTTTCAGCTGCCAGGTAATGCGTTATTGCACTAATCCACTTTATATTGTTTCATTTGCACACTAAAGCTGTGCTGCTGCTAGATAAAGATGCAAACGCACCAGTGAGGCTTTTCAGCTCAGTGGTGGGCTGGTGTTTAGCACAGGGAAGAGTTTGTGGAGGAGAAATGAGCTGGGCATCGGAGCTGGTGGGCACTTTTGTGTGAGAAGCTCCACCTGACCACCTTAGAAGATGACTTCGAGTTGCACTGAGGGTGCTGGAAGTTGCCTTTCACTTTTCAAAGCGGTGTCCGGTAGGTTATTTGTTGTTGTAGAGCAGAACTGGGGCTGGTTTGGAAATGAGTGCTAGCAAAGGAGTCTCTTTTCGAAGTATGTGCCTTGAAGAGGGCTGGTTGTAAACAGGGCGGTGGGAGGTGGCTGGGAGCCTGCGCTTGTTTGGAGTTGGCCTTTCCTTTGTTTCTCTAAGCTGGCTGTATTTTGATATCAGTGAACCTTGAAGTGTAGCAAGTGGGATCCGTTTAAGCATCTTTCTTTGCATCAAAACAACCCTGAGAAGGCCGGTCTTTGATAGCAGGTCCAGTTTGTGACACAGGGTCCAAAATACACCCGCTGGTTTTAATGCTCGGGGATTAAAGGCGTAGTTGTCCTTCTAGGATTTAGGCTGGCTGCAGGCTGTGGTGGTGCTCTTTGCCCAAGAGGAGGCTCAGCACGGGCTTGCTGCAGGTCCAAATGCAGAGCTGAGAGCGATCCTGCAGCTGGGAAAAGCCAGGGGAGGCTATGGCTGGAGCTTGGGATGCGCTGGCAACTCCGGGAACCAGAGGCAGGAGCTGCTTGGTGCTCAGCAGTCTGATTCAGGCTACAGTGGTGTTTGCTGGACTCTCATCTTGCTCTCCTTGGGGAAAATAATGGCTACATATAGTTGTGGTTTGGAGATTTTTTTTTTAGCAAGAAAGATGGCTGAAGTGTAAAGAATTTGCTCATGTAATGAAAGCATAAAATAATGTAGATCTAATTGGTGGGCAGTAAATCCCTGCCCATTTTCCGGTAGAAACAGGGTCAAGCTCATCACCCAGCTATCTCCTTTTAAGGCAGCATTTTCAGAAGCACCAAACCCTCGATGTTTAACCTTTCAAAAGTCATTATTTAGGAAGCATAGAAGGAAAAAGTGCTGGGACCTTGGACAAAGGCATTTCAGATGCTGTCTTTGGGGTGCACGAAACTGAGGTTATAGCAAATGTGTTCGGCTTGCAAATACAATTAAACAGTCTGAAAATTGAATGCAAGTTTGAGCCTGAGGCTGTTAAACATGAAGCTGATTGTTTCACGGTCTCCTGCACAGGAAAGAGTATTGGCTTTGCACTCTATTTATCCTCTTCCTGGGGAAAAGATGAAAGCATTTTATATTCATACAGACAAATATTTGTCTATCTTTCAGATTCTGCCAGTCTCCCAAGGTCGGAGCTTGAACCCTGCGAGATAAAGTCAAAACCACCCCCCTCTTTTCCCAGCCATGCAAACTGCGGGATGAAGCTGGAAGCTGTGGTCGAGCAGCTGCAGAAGCAGCAGCAGAAGCAGCAAACGCCTCTGCAGATGGATTCCAGGGAGAGACAGCAGAGGCAGATGAGGGAAGCCCAGCTGCTCTACACGCAGCAGCTGGCCGTGCAGCAGGCTGTCCTAGCAGCCACATCTGGCAGGGCTTCAGGCGGCTCCACTGTTGGTCCCTTGGCCAGAGGCCCACCTGCAGCCGGAGCTACACGGGCTTTTGATCAGAGCAGCATGAATTCTGAGCCAGAAGAGGAGGAGGAGGATGAAGAGGAGGAGGAGGAAGAAGAGGAGGAGGAAGAAGAAGGGGGTTTAGAAGGCGGTGATCTTGAGGATGGCGCTGATGTGACTGGGAAAGAAACCTGCTCTGCTCTGAAATATTTCCATGCTCCCAAAGTTGCCCATCACAACCAAAGAGTGGCTTCTACCTCGAATCCTCTGCCAGCATCAGGCCTCCAGCGGGGACAGCAGGGCAAGGAAGAACAGGGTAAAGACACTAGTAAGCAGCCGTATGCCAGTTCCCCGTCTGGACGCCAGAACTGGCGCTTGGATGAGCAGCTCAAGCAGGTCAGTCATAATGTTGCTTCCTTCTAAGAAAACCCAGATTCAGCCAGACCAGGAGTTTCTTTAGCCTGGTACCCTGTTACAGGAGCTTTGGAAAGAGTGGGAGAGCAGGGCATGTGCAGAGTAATGCTGCCCTGGCTTGTTCTGTTATAAAGAGATAGCTCAAGAGCTTGATTTGCTTCACAGATACTCTCAGAACCTTTGTGAGTAGGTAGAGTTTTGATCCTTGGCTCGTTTATTATCTTCTATCTCCCTGCTGTGCTGCCGCTCAGAGGGAACAGGCTGGTGCTATATTTATTTTGGGTGCAGGCATTTGCCTGCTAATGCCTTGAGTTACTTCACATCTATAACCCCTTTGTGTAAGACCTGGGGGATGCTGTGTTGTTGGCTGGATTTCTGGTTTGTGATGTGGGAAGAGCGTATGTCCTGATCCTTTGGGGAAGCAGAGCCGCTCTATTTCATGTGTGGGAAGGGAAGTGCTGATTTGCTACTGCTTGGTTTTGGCAGGAGGTTAATTCTGCCTCTGAATGAAGAATTACTACTCCTTGTAGGTAGATGCCAGAGGATCAAGGATTCTTTTCTAAGTGGGTATTTCAGTTAATGTAGCACTTGGGTGCTGTTTTGTTCCAGAGCTAACTTGAGCAGGCTGTCAGAGACTTATGCAGCATTTATAGGTATTGAAATTGAGCTAAAGGACTGCATGGTTTAAATAAGGATAAAGTAGGACTGAATTGTCCTTTTCTACAGATGTTAACCTGAGTGTGAAGAGGGTTTGCTTCAGGTAGAGTTCTTTGAGCTAAGAAACTGTGGACAAAACCAGAGCTGGTTTTCCTTACCTCCCGCAAACCCTATGGAGGAAGGTGGGAGCTGCTTTGTGCTGGCTGGTGAACATGGGTGTTTGAAGGCTTGCTGTGGGCTCTCTGGCCAGGTTCTCCCCTTGGTTGCATGCACGAGATCGTTCATTTCATGCTGCCACAGGCAGCAGTTTGATGACAAACTGCTAAAGCTCAGCAGCCTTTAGTTTTTCTCCTGTTCCATAAGGCTCCTGCCCTGCGAACCAGGACCACTCTGGTGTTTCTACACTGCTGCGTGGCAGGAACTCCTCGGAGTGATGAGGTGAATGGCATTTGTACTCTTGGTCCTGTAAAGTGTGCTGGTGAAGTAGCCCTGGTGCATGGGATGCAGCAGGCATCCAGCTCCTGCTGTGTTTTCTCTGGGTGTGCTTCTCAAGAGGGGTTAGGTTGAAAGAAGTTGTTGTAGGGACGTGAGGTGGGTATGACAGGGGATGCTTGCTAGAGAAGTTGCTTCTGTATTTACTGGCTTGGAGTAACTTCCTCTTCAAGGTCTCTGGGTGGAGAATTATAGGCAGGGCTCTGGAGTTAGGGGGATCACGTTCAAAATAACCCCAAATAAGCTTAACATCTTTGGCTGGTTTTATGTCTAGCTCAGCTGGTGCTAACAGGATGTCTTTGTGTTTCTTCCCAGTATTTGCTTATCTTGTGAGAGTCCTGGGAATCTTACTGAATCAGTAGGCTTGATTCCTAGGTCATTTGCCTATTCTTGGAAGATGACCATTAAGCAAGCTAGATCTGGTCTGAGCTGATTTGGTATGGCAAAAAATATAAGGATAAAAGCACTGGTTTACAGCTGGCGTGTTGTGCACTAACACCGATCCAGTTGCTATGGCTCGTTGCAGCAGTAACCAAAGCAGTGTTTTGGTAGAAGACTGTACCTTAGTCTGATGTCAGACCAGCTTTTTCTGGAAGCCAGAGTGCACAGAGCTTCCCCAGGAAGCCAAACTAAAAGGAAATGTGGTGTTTGGAGATGGAATACTGGATTTCCAGTACAGCCCCAGTAAGGCATAGCTTATATTCGTAGTGATACCGGTGAACTCTCGTTAAGGTGCTCAAAAGGCCATACTGAAGTGGCCAGTATTAGTGATGCTGTTGCAGAATATTCACCTTGGGCAGGGTAAATATTGCAGATGAACTTGTTTGTATTCACCAGTGCAGCCTGCATAGCAGGGAGTAAAAATTTAACTGCAGTGTACCAGTTCTGAGCTGGTAAGGCTTGCTGGAGGTGTGGGAATGAATGTGGTGGGCAGACAAGAGCTGTTAGCTGGCATGACAGCTTGACATTCTTATTTCAAAGGCTTACTTTAAAGATACTGGGTTTTTTCTTCTGGCTTTGTCTGAAATGGTTGTGCTAAGCTGAAAAAGCCAGGATGAAATGCAGAAGAGCCTGTGTTCTCCAGTTGGTTTTCTAAATGCTTCCTCATCTTGCCTCTTTTAGCTCTTCTTGAGATGGAGGCTAATAACCGGTTGGGATACACTGCTTCCAGCTAGCTCTGCTCTGGGAGTATTTGTGGTATGCGTAATGGCTCTTGCTTGCAGAAGGAGGGGGGGAAAGTCACTTCTATTTCTTCTTTCAAGTGTAGATTGTGCTTCTGAAAGTGATGCCCTTGGAGAAAAATGTATGTTGAAAGTGTATTTAACGCTGCCTGGAAGGTACGTGGCGTGAGGATGGCAGAAAGGTGGAATCTACCAGCAAGATGAAGCCCCATTCTGTTCCATCCTGGACAGCCAAGTAAATAATTGTAGAACAAGGCAGCAGACAAAAGAGCTGGCTCAGCTTACGGCACAGGGGCGGTGGGAATCTTGTCAGCACAAAACAACAAGGGAGTGAGTGCAGTTGCTTGTCAGGGAGTTGCAGGCCCGAAAGAAGAGCTGGGGCGGGGTGGGGGGGCTATGCTCAGCTCGCTTGAATCCCCTGAAAATCCATTCCAAATCCTGGGGAAAGGGTGTTGTGGCTTTGCCTGTCTTTGAAGGAAGCTGAGGCTTTAATTCTGTGGGTGAAAATGATGCTTTTAGCAGCTGGAAGGTGTGGGTCCTCAGCCCGTGGCTTCTCACATTGCTTGGGGATGGCTCTGGTTACCAGGGAGAGCCGTGCAGGGAAGGCAGGACCTCTGCATTGCTCCTTTCCCACTCCAGGCTGGTGTGCAGCACTACCAGGAGCAGTTTTGCCAGGCTGTTTACTACAGCACACACATGAGTATGTGCATTCCGGGGTGGAATGTAAAAATGAAGCCAAGGTTTTCAGGCATCAGCTGATATTAATGCTGCCTTAAACACAGCAAGGTAAGTCCCTGTGAAGCAGCTGTCTGAGAGTGGTTTGTGATCTGCTTTTTGGGGGTGTTTCATGGTAGATTCTCAGAAATCACCAGTTACTCCTGAAAATCCTGCCCTAAACTTCAACAAAGGTCATGGGGTTTATTAAGATAAGTCAGCTTAAAATAATTACTTTGCTTTTGCTCTAGGGTCTAGGAATGAGCGGCTGAGATTCCAGAACCTTTAAGTATGTGCCTCAAGTGGTGTGTGTATTGAGGTATTGCTCAGGAGATACTCATTAATCCAGTGGGGGTGAAGGTCCCAGGGAGAAAGAAGTTGCATTTCACACAGTGTATTTTTGCCTCAAAGTTATTTCAGGTGTCCAGGGCCCAGTCCATAAGGATTTTTAATTCCTTATGTGGGTCACTCAGTATCTTTGTGATGGTGTGGGCAGAGAATTCTTCATGAAGAGCTCGTGTCAGATAGTTGGTTTCTCTCGTACTGAAAGCTGTTTTCTGTAAGGACATGAACTTCTCTTGCAGTTCATGGCTTAGGCTTGAAGAAGTCTTCATCCCCATGACAGCCTGCTTCTGCCTTAGCACCTCACTTGGTGTTCACTTCATCATCAGTGACGGGAGCAACAGTCACCTTTTTGGTTAGGACATCAAGTATGAGAGAGGAGAACCAAGAAAACAGCTTGTGATGATGACTGGAGGCAGCAGCCTGCAAACAACCTGTATTAGACATCAGAGAATTCCCCCAGCTCTTCATCTGAGGAGGCAGTCACATAGGCTTCAGCAGGGCTATGTAATACTGCAGTGACTGTGCTAAATCTGGATGCAAAGGAGCAGAGTGAGAAGCTCATTTATATCCTGAGGAAGAGAAGGCTTATTTTAGCATCTTTTTACAGGTGCTAAGTTTAGGAATAGTTTCAGCTTCTCTTGGTGCCAATTTAGAGACGTTCCAGCTGATGCTGGAGGCAGGAGGTGGGAAGGTGCTCGAATGTGTTGTCCTCTTACACTGTGTTTCCTCACTTCAGGGTGAATCTGAGACTCTCCTGTGGCAGTGCGAATTTCTCTTCCCACAGCCATTATAGCACTGAACAAATCTTCTTGTCACTTAGGTTTTAGTTAATTCCTCTGAGTGTTTGTGAATAGGAGTCATTCACAAAGAGCCCAACTTTTCCTTAAGGATAAGGAAGCAAAGAACTACATTAGTGCTGCACTCGCTAGGCCTTAATAAATAAAGGCAATTAATCTGTTAACTTCAATCCGTTCTTTTTCTTCCCCATCCTCCCTGCAATTCCTGCCATCACTCCAAGGTTTTCCAAAGCAGGCTTTGAAGCTTGCAGCTATTGAATTGAGCTGTTATTAGTCAGACTGGGAAGGGTTTATTCCAGTTCCAGCAGAGCTTGTGCACGCAGTAATTATAACTTGGTTCTCCATGCTTGAGAACTTGCAGCTCAGGGCTGTAGTCCTGATCTTATCAGCGGTTTGTAGTACAACAGTTTTCTTTCTAATAGCATCTGTTTCACTTCCTAAGGCTTAACTCAACCCACAAAAGGAATTTGGGGGATTCTCTGATAATCCTGAAATTGCTGCCCCTCTACCTTTTCATTGACTCAGTGCTTTCAGTTAACTCATGGGGTAGGGGAGGGGCTTTCTTTTGCATTGCAACCTTTAGCCTTGGCCCTAAGTGGGTATTTCAGCAGGTTTCTAGCCTGAAAGCTGTCAAGACTGCAGGTCTGCAGTAAGGAGGTGCAGAATGATGCTGAGTTTCACACCAGAAGGTTTTGTTTCCCCTTTACTTTTACATATTAAAGCTTTAGTGGGTTCTCTCCAGTTCAGTTTCCCATTTGAATACAACTTGGTAGTCTGAGAAAACCTCAGTGAGCTTTAGCTGAGCTTCTCTCAAACAGCTGGAGCAAACTGGGGGAGAAGGGAATGACCTGGAAAAGGAGCATTTCCAGTTTCTCATCAAGGTCCCAGTTTGCACACTAACTGCAGCTTGCGCAGGCAGGACTGGAGGAGATGTTGAGCTGTTCTGTTTGCCTTAATACTTCATGTCGAGCACAGGGGGTTGATTAGTTTCTTGGTCTCCATGAGGGACAGACATGTGAGATGGGAACATTTGAGAGGGGCTGAGGCTGCTTGTTTATAAGGGTTTTGTCCTCAAAAGAATGGGCTGGGCAAAGGAGGAAAGCGTCCTCCCCTTTTCTTGTCTGCTTGGCAACTCAGGGTTAACTCTGCCTTTTGAATGTGGGATTGGAAACCAAAATTGCTCTGGACATCTGAGCTTCCCTCTAATAAGATATTCCAGGTGGTTAGGGAGTAATCCTAAAATAGGTCCAGATATAATTGCTTCTGAAGCCAGGTCTGCAGCCTCTGGGGCAGGGGGAGCCCTGGGGGGCTCTGATGGAGGTGTCTGCAGGGGGAAGGCAGCGGAGGTGGCCAGCCCTTCCCAACACCTCTGCCTTCTCGCTCGGGCTTTGCATTGAGGGCTTCTCCCACCTCCTTCTGCAAGAAAGCCGATAAATTCCTGCCGGTGGTGATGCAAAGGCTGTTTGTCAAACATCAGCAAATTCCCCTGATGCAAACAGGCAGAGGGAGAAGGAGGACTCTCCCCAGAGAATGCCTTGCTTCTCTCAACAGTGTTTTTTCCTTCCTGCTACTATTGCCTGACTTATACAAAGGTCTTTTAATGACTTGTGAGGATATATTGATTTCTCAGGTTCCTGCTGTTCGTACAGAGGAGGGCTTCTCAGCATAGGGTAACTTTGTTTTCCTAGGAGGAATGGAAAGGAAGCTTGATACCAAAGCTCCTGCTGAGCTCTCTTGCTGTGCAAAATGTAGTTTATTCTGCATGTGAAGCATCTCTTGCATCAGGAGCTGCTTCAGGAGCTTTGTGGGGCGCTTCCCTGATTTACCCCTTCCAGTCGTGCTCGAGTCGCTGTTCTGAACCCTGCCAGTGTTTGATACCTTCTCTTGTAACCTTGGCACGGACCCAAAGGTTTTGGAGAGCAGTGGTCCCTCAAGATCAAAGCTGAGCCTGGGAAAGCGCCTGTAGTGCGTGTACTCTGCTCTCTGAATAAATAAGGCTTTATTCCCAGCTGCTGAGCTGACATTTCACACTAGCCCGAGACTCTGCGAACTCTGCCACCCAGAGGAAACCTGTGCTCTGTCCTCGGGCCTCCAGCTTGTGCTGGTGTACACTGAGGTGCATGAGAAGCCCTCTCCTTATCGCCTCTGATAGCTTAACATGGGGAGTGGTAACTGGCTTTAAACCTTTGCAGCTACTGCAGGAGGAAATGCTAATGCTGGCTGCTGGCTCTCACCTCGGCTCACTCCGTGTCATGCCAGGTTAGATCCATCTCTGCCACTTTTCTGGGCATATGGTGAAACACTGATGGCTTCAGCAAGCTTTAAGCTCCTTTTCACTAGTGGGATGTGGGGGAGCATTACTTCTGTGCCCTCAAGCATCTTAGGGTGTACTAATGGAAGTAGGTTGTAGGTATTCTGCTTATTCTCGGTATCAAACCTTAATCTTGGCATTCTTTTCCAGTTACCCCTTGTCTTCACATAGGGAAAGTAAAATAACTTCTCAAGAGACTTTAATCCCATGGAAAGTTTTGTTCCTTGACATTTTAGCAATTTCAAACCCATTGGCAGTAAAGAATTGTCTCCTTTAAGCCCTCTTCTTCCTGTCCCTTCCTCAAATGTAGCGGAATAAGCTCTCGGCATGACCAGAGTTCCCAATGAAAGCAAGTGTTTTGCTTCCTGGAGCACCCAGTTTAACCCCAGAAGCAGTTTTGCCCTCTGGATTTATAAGCAAATACCCACTTGGGAAGAAACTGGCTCAGCTCCCTCTAAATCATTGTGCTTTGGAGTGTGTAAAGTTGAGGATGGGAACTACCTGCTGCCTTCTGAAGTGACCCTCTCTTGTTCTAACTGGTCACACAGGTTTGTTGATCCCGGTTAACAGGCAGGAGGGGTTGAGGAGCAGCTGGATGTTGCCATAATTAGCAAAGCCCTGTGGTTTTTATCTCTGCTAGCAAAGGACACCAAGACGAATCCTCCTGTGAACAAAACCAGGCTTCAGATCCCTTCCTAGAGAGGGCTGGGAATTGATCTGCTGCAATAAACAGCTGACATAACAGAAGTGGCAATAATCCCCCATTAAATATCTTTCAGTTGATGGGACTCACTGGATAATTGACTTTCCAGGAGGAATTACTGGCTCAAACTAAATCAGCAGGCATTAGGGCAGCTCACTGCAGTGTTGTTTAAAGGGGGAAGTGTAGCTTTGCCCGGCCTTGACGGGAGCTATTCATCTTTCTAATTCAATGGATGTGTCACAACCAGATGACTCCGAGATTTCAGGTATTGGACCACCTCTCTAATTCACATGCTGGCTTTCTTGTGCTGAAACCTTTTGCTGTCTCTCCTCAGTGCTCAGTGCTAGGATGCTGGGTGTTTATCAGGACAGGGTAATCAGAGGTACTGTGTTGAGTGGATTTGGCTCTTCTCTTGCATTGAGTGGCTCTGGAGCACTTCAAGAAGTTGATGGTTTAAAGATGCTTGAATGTATCTCATCATCATTCACCTGGCCTCTGCCATACTGTTAGAGGCTGCTCCTTCTGGTGATCATTTCAAGCTGATGATTTACCAAGTGGAATAGGCCCAACTAGAGTAATCCCTTTAATGCCTGAGAAGAATGAACCTTAATCCAGCAAAGCTGAGCTTTCCATTTCTATGAGGACAAGGCACATCCAGCAGCTTCCAGGAGGAAATGTCCTGGGTGGGCAAGAAGCTTTCCAAGGGGTTTATCTCCCTCTTCTGGTTTTGCAGGCAAGCTGGGGGAGGACAGAAGGGCATTTCCAAGTGTTGCCTGGTAGGAGGGAGGGATGCTTGAGTAACACCTGCACCTTTCCTAGGGGCTCTAGGATGAGCACTTGGTAAAAGGATGGACACAGAGCATCTCTTTAGGTGCTGAACCTCACTGCAGCAGAGCACCTCCTACAGGGTTCAGCAGATTGAGGACTTTCCTCTGGAATGGCTTTTCCTGGTGCCAAGACAACTTCTTGGTGATGCAATTCCATGGGTTAAAACTTAGGGCTGGAAACTTCCCCTCCCTTCAGTAGCAGCCTGGAAGGTGAAATGCCACTTCCCTTTCCAGGGAAGTGAGATGGGACAGATGCACCAATGTCCCCCGTCTTTCTGGTCATCTTGGTCTAAGCCAGCAGCTGCTTTTGCATGTGTGTTTGCCCCCAGATTGCCTATTTGGAAGCGTTTGGAACTGGCTGCAAAGCCTGTCCATGCAGATCCTTACATCCTGTCGTTTCCCTCTCCCTAGAATGGCAGCGTGACCTGGAGCGATGAAGGTGATGGATGCAGAGGAAGAGAAATTTCCCGAGACTTTGCCAAGGTCAGTGGGATCATGGGATTTGAGGGGGGTTTTCCCCTGATCTGTGCCAGAGGGTCACTGTGGAGCCCTCACTATTCCCCTGTAGTGAATTTGTAACTAAACTGCTTTGTTCTGCCTACAGACCTGCTGTTTTGGGGCTATTTTGTTGCTTTGGCTGACTGGAATATGGTTTGAACTAAGACTTACTAACCTGACTCTAGGCATTTATAATATTAGTCAATACTTTTTGCAGCTGAGAGAAGGGTGGTTTGTTTCTTGAACCTGGATTTGAATGTGGCAGCTGTGTGTCACACCAGCCAGAGGAATTCATTTGAAACCAAGCTGGCTCTTTCTGAAAGGGGGCAGCTAATTGCTCTGCAAATACACTGCTGTGTTCTCTTCCCCGAGCTGGGATGTGAGAAAGCACAGAGCTTCACAGGAAATGAGCCCAAAAAGCCCCTCTTCTCCTGGACTGGGTGAATACCAAGTAGCTAGCAGCACCCACAGAGAGGCTGGAATATGTATTTCCCAGGGAATCTTCGCTTTTCCATTGAGCTGCTCCACAAGCAGCACATAATTCCCTGGAGTGATGCAGGATTCCTCCTCAGTGCAGACAAGAAAAGGTATTGAACTCTTCATGTAGAGTGTTGTCTTCTCTCTTGTCATCTGTCCTGTATCTCAGTGAGGGGTGGACTTGAGCCCTCTCAGCCTGTCATTTTGTGGCCTCACAGGATTCTTGCTAGGTGAGAATTAGATCTTTCGGGGAAGAGGCAGTTGTGAGATGACACTCATGCCTTTCCCTTCTGAAAAGCAGTGGCTAATGCTAACACACAGTGCCTCTCCTTTGGAATAGCTGCTAGGGAGCTTTAAGTGCTTAGGTGGTTAAGCCTGTTGGTAAAGTGATTTCTGCAGCTAATTTCCAGGCTGGTTTCTGCTAGTTTTGAAGACTTTGGGGCTTATTTTAGAGGACTCCTTCCTGCAGGCATTAGTAGTTACAGGAAAGCTCACTCCTTTCCTCTTCTCCTTCAAGGGATCAGTTTGTCACTTAGGTGACAATCCCTAAAGGAGGGAATCCTGAGGCTGGGAGAAGCTGCAGAGAGCTTAACCCATCTGGTGCTTCAAGGGTACAGACACTAAGCTGCCCTGAGCCACTGTCACCTTCCTTTGGGTTGTCTCATCTTTCTGTCTCGCTTGCCTTAATACTTCCTCTCCCCTTTGCTTTCAGATGGTTTCAAACCCTGCTCTGTAGCAGTGCTGTTAACTGGGCCGAATCCTGTTCCCTTTGGGGCACTGGTATCTGCTGTGCCAGGATGAGTTACTGAGGGGCTGAGCAAGGCAACCAGTAAGAAGGGTCTTTTAACTGGCACAGCAGCCTTGGCCACCAGAGCACTCAGGAATCCTTCCTTGTTTTGCTTTCACCTTCCAGTGCAAGCACCAGATCCCCATTGGAAGAAGCTGATATTATTACTTGATTTTCTGTTGCATTGTGGCTTGTGCCTTCATCCTTATTTCCCTCCTATAGCTCTATGAACTGGATAGTGACCCTGAACGGAAAGAGTTCCTGGATGACCTCTTCATCTTCATGCAGAAGAGGGGTGAGTAAGCATTTGTTTGAACTTGGATGTGGTACAGTGGGGCAAAGGGGTACTGCTGCCTGTGACTTCTTCCCTTCTGAGCTTGAAAGACCACCTCCAACCCTTGAACTTGCAGATCAGATGGAAGAGCAGTGGTAAGACTTCAGATCTTCGCCCTGGGAGAAGGAGCATGGTAGGAAAGGACCTGCCTTGTAGCTTAGTTACACAGATGCTATTTCTTTGTCCTCCTACCTAATACTCATGTTGTCCATGCATTGAAGAGATGAAGAAGCATGGTTCCCCAAGGAACCCAGCACCATTAGAAATTCTCTGGTCTCCCCCTTCATGTGGTATGATCACACATCTTCTCCTGTTCGATTTCATTGGCATTTGGAAGCTGAGTATGAATGCCTTCACAGCCTCCATGGAGTAGCAGCATACAATCTGGGGACTGGGAAAACAGACACCAAGCCACATTTCCCTGCAGATTGGCAATGTGTCAGCTTTCTGTTCCGTTATCTTGTGTAACTGAGTGAGGAGGTGCCCAGTTTCTCACATTCCTCCCTGTGGTGTCACCAACTTGCATCTCTCTTGGCTGCAGGAGCAGTGATGCACATGTGAAGGAGCTCAGCTGGGATGCCACAAGTCTTTGTCCCCTAGTTATGAAAGCTCAGTCCCCTCATTGCAAACTGTTCATCATAAACATGTACATAGATGTGCTATTGTATAAAATAGACATGTGAACATGTGTGGTAGATCCTTTGTGGTGCTCTCCTCCTTTACCCCTCCAGGCCAGGCACTCTTCAACAAAGACATAAAGCATTAAACTGTGCTATAGACCTTTTCTTTGTTCCCAAAGAGTCTGCTGAAGGGAGGTGTGAAGAGCAGATGTATAAAGGACCCTTTCCATCCTCATGGCATGATGCTTTCAGAGTGTGCTGAGGCAAACAAGCCCAGTCATGCTTACTTGGAAGTGGGGCTGCCTTGGTGTCACCAGTATTGTTCCCTGAGAGTCTCATAAAGGATAAAGCTGCACCACCTCAGCCTTATCTATTTGAAGGTGATCTGGTTGCTGCGTTGGAGCTAGAGTCTTATTTCCAGTTGGTTTTTGAGCCCTGCATCTTCAGATGCATCCTGCTATGTGGATGAGTAGATCCCAAGCAGAGGGAAAGCGATCCTAAATGCAGCTATTCCAATTGCCCTTCGTATCCATGTCTGTTTTCCCTGGCATGACCTGGGTGAGCTTTCCCTCTCCTGCAGTTTGAGATTGTGCTGCCCAAGGCAGGTAAAAATGAGAGCTGGGTTTTGCTGATGGGTTTGGCTTTTGTGTGCAGAGGCATAACCAAGCTTGATTAGTTTACCTGCCCATGTTAACCTGAGCTCAACTGTTAATGTGAGGGCTGGGATGCCTGACAGACAAGACAATCATCTGCAGGGTTTGACTGGCAGCAATAGAAACCTCCAGCTACCCAGAGAGAAATCTGCTTCATACTTCAGTGTCTCCTTCCTATTCCCTTTCAATTATTCATAACTGACACATTGCCCATGCAGGGGCTGAGCTGGTCACCGGCTGCTTGCTGGCGGAGTTGAGCTTTTAATCATCCGGGCATTCCCAGTGCATTTGTTTGCTGGAGATTCCCTTGGTTTTATGCTTGCTGGAAGGACTGTAACTGAAATCTAAAGGGCCCAGGACCCATGGGGGAGAGATGTGAACTGGACAGTCCTCTGCCAGAGGGGCTGGAAAGGTTTGGCCCTCACTGTCCAGTGATGGATGCAGCTCTAGCCTGGGCACTTGGCAAACTGCTCCTGCCTGCAGCATCCTCAGCAGCAGGCAGAACAAATCCAACCTCCTCCATGCTGGGAAGCTGGCTGAGTTGCAGAGTATGGGTAGTTACGGGCTTGCTGTATGTCTGGGTCCCCCCAAAAGCAATAGAGAGAAGGACTCTGGGGAGCTAAACACCTTCAGGTTGATAGAACTGACCAGCATAGGTTGAGCTAAAGGAGGCAGCTTCTCTTCTGCCAGGAATGTGAGCTGCTGTGTCCTGCTGCACAGGAGCTCTCTTAACTTGGCCTGTTTCTTCAGCAGCTGTAGGGCAGCTGAGAGCAAAGCCCTGTGTTTCTTAGCTCCTATGTGTGAAGAGCTGCTTCATTTGCACCTCGTTTCTGAAGGGACTGGAAAGCAGCTCTGCTAATAAACATTGCTGGTGTAAAGATGGGGCTTTTGCTTTTGCTGTTGTCCAGGAGAAGCCCCCCCCCCCTTGTTTGGGGCTGCTGGATTTGAAGCACAGATTGCTAACTGCTGCTGCACCAAAAAGCCTGATGTGGAAGATAAATGCCCCATTTCACAGGAGCTACTGAGTAGTTGGAGGGATGAAAAGATTTGGTGGTTGGTGCTGCTGTTAGGAATGTACCTCGAAATGTGGAGCCATGAAACAAGCTTAATGCAGATCAAATGTGCAGGTCTCATCTGCCTCTGAGCACAGCAGGTTGTCCCTGAATGACCACAGCTGCAAGTGATAAAATGGCCCTTCAGTGGCAATAATGATGGAAGAGGGAGATGAGAGGAAGGCTGTAACTCTTCTTTTGTTGGATGTTTTATTCCTTGTATGTGTTTAGTTATATGGGTCCCACCATGGCTGTGATTGAAGGGGCAGATGGGGTGAGGAGGGAAGAGCAGTTAGTGTGCAGGACTAGCTTTGAACCAGGCCTGTGACAGGACTGACCTGATGCCGCTTGACAGGGATGATGTTCACTATATCACCACTTCCACCTTCTCTTTGTCCAGCTTTTCCTCAGTCTCAACCCAAAAGTTGTCTTTCCTTGGACTGAGTGGGGATAAAAACCTTCAGCCGTGGCTTCCCTCCATCTTCATTGCTGATCTGGGGGCTTGTGACAGGTTGAGCCTTGATGGCTTGAGGTCTGAGTTCTCCAAAGCTGTATTCTTAACCCCCTGCTGCATGAGGAGCTGCTCCCTGGGCTAGTTTGTGGTTCAGGGTGTTGTAAAGGCCACTGGCTGGGGTTCTCTGCTGGTGCCCTCTGGAGGGGGTTGCATTGCAGGCATGGAGGCTGGATTTGTTCTGCCTGCCACTGAGGATGCTGCAGGCAGAGCAGTTTACCCAGGCTAGAGCTGCATCCATTACAATAACTCAGGATAATCTTGTGTTTGCCCCATCTTTTGTATTACTAGAAAGAATTGTATAACAGCAATGTATGCAACCAGATGGGCAAGTTCATTTACTGGGCTCAGACTTGGTGTCAGAGAGACCTTCCACCCCTTTTCAGGGAACTGAGCTGATTGTATCCCACTAGTACTGATTGGGAGAGCACTGGAGTAGTGGGGATTGTTTGATCCCCTGGAAGGATCAGCAGTGTTCATGCAAGACATGCCTCTAGACAGGTTTGATGGGGAAGAGATCCAAGCGCGTGCTCTGGTGTGTGAGGAAAGGCTGCCTTGCAGGGGAAGCTGTTTGGTTCGTTTGAAGTACTGCCTTTGTGAAGACCTCATAAAATGTCTCCAATTGTACAGCTCTACTCGTGCTGGTCAAGGTTTGTGCCTGACCTTGGTTTTCCCAGATGGCTTGACCATTCAGGGGCTTTATGTGTATACACATAGAAGGGGCTTTGTGAGTCAGAGCGTGTGGTTTTAATGTTTTCCTGCTGTTGGATGCTCTGTCTGCACGTTTGGATGGGGAAATACAACAAATCCAGGGTATTGACAAAAGCATTTACTGGTGGATTCCTCTATCTATGAGCCAAGGGGTGTTTATGAAATGGTTGGTCAGGGAATACACTTCAGTCTTCTACTGATTCCATTTTGCTGGGTTCTTCTTTTGATCCTCTTGGGGTCTTTTTGAATCTGCTTTAAGCAACATAGCTCCTGAAATGAGACATCAATAGACATAAATTCTCAGCATCCTTTGCTCGTGCTACCTGCTTACTGCTGAGCCGCAGCAAATGCTTCCCTGAATAGCAACTGATGTTCTCACTTCAGGCACTGCAGAGGTGTCTTCTAGATGGTCCCCATCAACCAGACAGAGTCCTCTTCCCCAGGAGAGCCTTGGGTTTGTACACAGCTACGTCTCTGCCTCCTGCACCTCCTTTAAAGAGCCTCTTCTTTGGTCAGCTGTGCCTAGCCTCAGGAAGAGTGGGGACTGTTGTCTTGTGCAGATGGTGAGCAGTGGGAATCAGTTTTACCTTTATATTGTTAGAAAGAATGGCTTTCCCTGAAGTTGCAGGGCCAGCTGGCACTCTGCTTCACATTCCTCAATATTCTTTAAGTGCTTTGAGCCTTCCAGAGCAGGGAACAGAGAACTCCATGCACTGAAACACTTCTGAGGGATGCGGGATAAAATCACGTGCAAAGCAAAGTGCTTGGGATCTCCGGCCAGCTTGAATCCAGCTCCTCTGGGGATGCCTAGGCCTGGCCCTGAGGTAGGGCTCTCTGCAGCTTCCAGAAAGCTCTTGCAGGGAATGTTTTGCTCATCAACCACAGGTGCCCGGTGACTAAAAGTCCCCACCAGCTACATAAGGTGGTATTCTGGGGGAGTTTACTTAGGCTGGTTTGCAAACTGCAGTAACTTAGAAGTAGTTATCAGCAGGTCCTTCCCATGAAACCCAAACTTCCTCCCCCTTCTGCTTTCAGCCATCAGAACATTCATTGCAGACTTGAGGCATGAGTTTTTTCTCTCTGATTTGAAAAAAGCCTGGAAATTCCCCATATTTGGAGGGAGAATACACAGCTTGATTCAAATAATGGATATCCCTTGGCTTTAAGCAACTGAAACCTCGTGGTTTAGAGTGAAGATTGCTTTAGCTCCAAGAGAAATCATATTGGAAGCTGCAGTTGTAATGGGAAAATACTGTTAGAAGTTGCCTTGGTTCTGGCTTCCAGGAGATTTAAGTTTAGCCAGCAGAGAGGAGGTTTGAGCAGCTGAAATGTGTTGGTATGAACTGAGGTGGCACTGGACAAGGCACGCACATGAATTGGAAAGGACTGGGGGGTGTTGCTTTGCATGAACCTT